GCTGTGTACAGGAAAAAGCACAGGGATGTCTCATGTGGGTGATTAAATGCCGTGACCCAGAAGTGACTTGACATAACTCATGGGATGGAGCTAGTCGCATGGTCCACCAAACCCAACAGGCTTGGGGGGGTGGGGCAGCTAGGAAGTGCAGTCCTGCTCGGTGACATTGACCATGGACGTGTTTCGTAAACAGCACGAATGGCTGCCAGGGCCTCCTAGCAGAGAGTATCATTTTACCTTCACAACAACTCCCTCTGATAGGCAGTTATTCTCAGCCCTGTTTTCAGGAGAACCTGAGGCTCAGAGGAGGGATGTTACGTTGGAGTTCATGCAACTACAAAGCGGCAGAGCTTAAGATTTTAATCATGGCGTCACGTCCAGGGGGGAAAAAGGACCACAGCACACAGAGCGGGAACAAGCCTATATCCGTTATCTTTGGCTGTATCTGTAACCACCCCAAAACTTAGTCACTTAGAACACTCAATCCCCTTTTATCTAGCTCATGATTCTGCCAGGCCGCAGTTTGGTCTGGGATCAGCCAGGTGGCTCTTCTGCTGGGTTCAGCTTGTCAGCTAGGCAGCTCTGCTTCAGAGGGTTGGCTGGCTGTAGCTTGGGGTGTCAAGACTGACTGGGCCACATGCCTCTACTCACCCAGCAGGTTAGCCTGGACTTCTTTGCATGGCAGGGGTTCCAAGGGCAGCGAGAGAGGAAGCCCTAATATGTGAGCACTTTTCAAGCGTCTACTTGTATGGTGTTTGCTGTTTGTTGTTCCTGTGGCCAGGCAAATCACGCGGCCAGCTCTACAGTCAGAAGGGACTCTCCCAGAACACAGAGAGGCATTAATGGGCCAAGCTGCTTCCAGGGCTGGGATGCTTTACTGTCACAAGCCCCTAAGGTCTAAATGTCACTTTTCCACCTGCATCTACCCTCCCCCACCCCACTGCCGGGAGTCTCTGGATTCCAGCTCAAGGGGTTCTTTCCCAAACAGACCCTCACCATCCAGCACTCCTCTCCCAGGACCCAGGAGTCCCCACCGTTGGTCTCTTCCTCCTTCAGACCCAGTACTATCTCCAGCCCCTTCCTTCCCCAGACCGAAGCAAAATCCCAAGCATCTTCCCCTTCAAATCCCCAAAGAGACACAGAGTGGGATTTCTACACATTTTTATTCACTCCTTCAAAAAGCACCACAGGCCAACCACACCTTTGATTAGCCCTCCCAGGTTCCCCACCCTAGTGGATACAAGTCTCTTCATCATTATCCAGAAATGTATGAAATTCGGCTAAGGCGATGAGATCATCTCCGGCAACGGCAGGGCCAAGACTTACCATCCATTTCCTTGAATTCTTGCCTTCGAGGGTCTTCCAGCCTGGAAGTACGATGTCGACACACCCCGGGGGCAGCCAGCAATCAGTTCTCAAGGGAGTCTTAAGTCTTTCTGCTTGGATGCTCCCAGAGACAGATGCCTGGCTAGCAACGTGATGCCTCCCATCAAAAGTCATAATTTAAAAGACAACCCCCCCCAATTAGTCACGACACCCAAGAGTGTCAATACACAACGACAGAAACACAATCAGCACTCCCCAACAAAGACACAGGCAAACAAAATCGGGTTTTGCTTTCCCAGATATGATCTCTGGCACGACCCTCGTTGGCATGAGGGCAGAGGGAATTTGGAGCAGGGCAGCATGGGGTAGAGGTGTCAGGCAAGACCAAATCAGAGATGGCGTGAAAAGTGGCAGAGACAGAGGAGGGCACTGTGAGCAAAGGCATGGGCGTGAGACAGAGGTGCCCAGACTAGAGCTGTCTGGGTGCTGCCTGGGGCCCAGGGCATAGGCAACAAGACTTACGGTTGAGCTCCCCAGGGGCCAAGCTTCTCCCAAGGGCTGCAGCGTGAGCTGACGGGTGTGTGTGTGTGTGTGTGTGCGTGAAGATGCATGTACATACATACATACATATTCTTACAATTACCCTGTGAGGTAGATGCCATTTGCTGAGTGACTTCCCCAAGGTTACCCCAATGTCTGGAGGACTGTCTGACCCTAGAGCTCTGCCAATAGGATTTCCCGTGATAATGGGAGCGTCCTAGGTCTGTGCTGTCCAACACTCTAGCCACACCTCACAGGTGGCTACTAGCCCTTGAAACGTGGTTAGTGTTAGCTGGGAAGTGGAGTTTTAAACTTTATTCACTTTTAATTGAAAATGGATACACACCTCAGTTATTGGGAAACTGGTCAATATAATCGGGACAACTTGGGTAGAGGAATCGATTTCTCCACCGACAAATTTTTCGGCAAGTTAAATAGAGGTACTTCCGATGAAAATTTATCATCTGAAGGCGATGTACACTAAGTGTAAAATATCTCATTCTTTTCTCAATTGATTACATGTTGAAATAATATTTTGGATTTACTGGGTTACATAAAACATAACTAGCTTCACCCTGTTTCCTTTTACCTTTTTTAATGTGGCTGCTGGGACATTTCAAGTTACAGATGCAGCTCACATTCCGTTTGTCGGACAGCACTGCTGGGCGCCTCTCCCACTTCCCCACATGTTGTACTGGATATTACAGATATGGGCAAACACCTTCCCCTGAAGCCCAAAAGGCCTTTGAGGACAATGCCTGAAGCTGTTCTGTATGGAGCCAAATGCTTTTCCCCACCTCGGCCATCTCAACTCTGAGGGGACAAATTGTGCCAGTGGTAGGGGTTCAAGATGGACACGGGGGTACCATCTGGCAGGTATCTGCCCCTCAGATGGGTCACCCCTGTCTCCCACTGTCAAAGAAAATAGGATCTTGGAAGTGTTTAGGGTTCTCGTCCAGCCCTTTCCTTTCGCAGATGGGAAAATAAGGCACTGGTCCAAGTCACCCAGAGTGCCAGTGGCAAGGCCTTGCTTGCTTCCCAGATCCCCTGACCTCCGACAGGAGCTTCTCTCCCACCAGATGCTTGTTTCTCCCTGCCTCGCTCATTTCCCCTGTCTTGTGGCAAGAGACCGACAATCTAACTTCCAGTCTGCCATGGAATAATGAATTCAGTATTTACTAAGCACCTACTGTGTTGTCAGGCACTCTTCTAGGTGCTGGGGATGGAGCAGAGAACAAGACAGGTAAGAGGATCATAGCTATTAAATAGGTAAATAAATAAGGTAATCGTTTACAGTAATAATTGCTACAAGAGAAACACTGACGGGCTGAGATGAATAATGGGGATGTGTGAGCTACTTCAGTTACACTGGTCAGGGAAGGCCTCTCTGGGGGGACATGTGAGCTGAGACCTGCTTGACAAGAAGGAACCAGCCATGGGAAGATCTGGGGGCAGAGCATTCTACGAAGAACAGCAAATGCAAAGGTCCTGGGGTAGGATCCAAGGTGGCCCACCCAGGCATCAGAAGGAAGATCAGGCTGGTTGGGGGATGGGGTGGGGGCAGGGAATGCGAATAGGCAGGGGCCAGACCACGTAGGACCTTGCTGTGTGCTGTTGGGCCTAGAGCCTGCCCTTACTGGGCTTTGCTCTCCCCATCTCTCATAAAAGAGATTCATTCTACTTAATGGCCTTTCAGTTCCCTTTCTGTTTGTTGACACTGAAGAATTCTGTGACCTGTGGCGTCTTTTCTACCTATCATTGGCAGCCTAGAACATTCCAGGCACTGTGGTTTCTGGCTTTGCTTCACTCATGGCACACTCCCACGGTCTGGAACGCTCCCTAGCTTTTCTGTGGGTCTCTTGCCCTCTGCAGCACTGTGTGTACACCAGAGGGCAGAACCTCTTGGTGACACCTGAGGTCGCCAACACAGAAGTGTCTGGATCACTGCAGTACGACAGCTGCTTTTCCAAAAAAGGCAGGAGTATAAAATACCAAGGCCAGAAAGGGTTAGGCTTAATGACAGAACAAATCAAGACCAAAAAGAGATCGAAACCACTAAGGGAGAGAGGGACAAAGGAAAAGACTCACCCAAGAGCCCCTGAATCACTCAGCACCTATGAAAAGGGGCAGTCATATCCCTTCCCAAACTCACACAGAGAGAGACAACTGCCAGGGTCCAAATCCATAAGGGATTTGTGGGAGGTACCTCTGAGGTATGGGTTCCTGCCCTTCCACACCTAGAAGGCCTCATTTCTGGTCTCTGGCTACCCCCAGGGCCCACCATGCCCAGACCTCTTGCCTCCTCCCCTCATTTTTGTGGGACCATCCTCCCCACAACAGCTGGGGAAGGAATCTGGGTCATCAGTCCCCTGGAGCAGCAAATGTTAGGTATCTCTCTATTCCTCAAGGGGGACCAAAGGCTCTCCAGCTCTTTTGCACAGCCCCGTTCCCTCCTGTAGATGGAGACCTCCCACCACCCAGGAATTAGAAACCAAGGTCCAATGAAGATTCAAAGCCACCCCCTCTTGAGGAACTGGGAGGCTGGATGCAGACCCGTTCCCTCTGGGAAGCCTGGATCCTATATCCTCATGTGGCTCAGCAGTTCCAAGGATTCCGGCTCCCTGGGGTACCCACACTCCTTCCTCCATCCTGGAACCTCCAGGATGACGGAGACCCTCTTCATCAGGAACCACGGCTTTCACCTATTCTCCCCCCTCCCAGGGCGAGAGGACCAACAGATCCAGTTTCTACTCCCCTGAAGACCAGAACGGAACCCCTTCTAGGAGTCTCAACTTCCTTCAGGACACAGTCTGGAGCCATGCCCTGTGGTCCCCAGGGAAATCAGTTCTTTCCCCCCCAGACTCCATTCCCCTTCAGGACCCAGGGATCCAGGAGACAACAAGTCACGCATCCCAATCAGTAGTCCTAGAGCCCTCATCCCCTTCAAGCACCCAGGATTCTGGGTGATGGCCCCCAGCTCTGTTACCTCAGAGGCCCAGACATCCGACGCCAGATTCTGGACTCCCAACTCCACCCCCACCCCCCCAAGCGGGACCTGGGCGTCCTCAGCCCCTGGTGGAGCCAAGCAGCACGGACGCTGAGCACCCCGGAAGCCCCGACCCTCATCCCTCCCCTCACTGCGCGGGCCAATGGGGTGCCAGCACCGCCTCGGCATCGGCCTGCATCTCGTCGAGGGCCTGCAGCAGGACACCGTGCGCGGCGCGGTAACCCAGGCCGCCGGTGGCCGCCGCCCCGCCCGCCGGCCACAGGAAGGAAAGGGCGCCCAGCGCCGCACCCCCCGCAGTGCCCTCGCCCGCCCACGCGCCCAGCCTCGCCTCCACCTCGGCGCGCGTCACCGGGCCCGGGAAGCGCGTCCGCTCTGCCAGCTCCCCGGGAGCCAAGCCTAGCGCGCGCTCGCGTCGAGCCAGCGCCGCGGGTTCGAGCCCCAGCGCCCGCCGCCACTCCGCCAGCTGGCCCCGCAGCAGCGCCACGTCGCACGCCCAGCCTAGCCCTGGTACTGGGGCCGCCGCCGCCGCCAGGCTAGCCAGCAGAGCCGGCCGCCACGCCCCGGCCCGCAGCGCCGCAGCCTTCATCCGGGCCCCGTGGGGAGACGCGGGTGGCAGCGCCAGCAGCAGCGCCCCCGCCTGGGCCGGGGGGAGCGCGCGCCGCAGCCACTCGCAGAGCCCGGGGAGGCCGCCAGGCCGCAGGGGGAACACGGGCGGCGGTGCCTCCTCCAGCACCTCCCATGTCTCATCCTCCGGGCTCAGTGCGGCCGCACGCTCTGAGTCCCCAGTGCCCGATTTCTTCGCGCCGCCGCCAACACGCGGCAAACTCTCACTGCCTGCCTTCTCTGAACCTTCCCCGCTGCCTGCTTTCTCGGACTCTTCCCCGCTACCTTTCTGCAATCCAGTGCCACGGCTCCCCCTTCCCTCACTGCGTGCATTCTTCAACCCCTCTCCGCCTGCGTTCTCTGAGCTCTCGGAGCTGGGCTTCTCTGCCTTCTCCTCTTCCTCCGGGTACTCTGGATCCTCGCCCTCACCGTCTGTTCGCACGCAGACCAGCGGCGCATCTGGCAGCACGAAGGGCCGAACCTCAGCCCAGTCCTTCTCAGTAGGGGCCCCCGGGGTGACAAGGATGAGGGCGTCGTAATGGGTTGGATGGGGGGCGGCAGCAGTGCCCGCGGAGCCCAGAGGCACGTTCCAGAGCACCACGTTGGGACGCTCTGGGGCGGGGTAGGGCGTGGGCCCCGGGGGCGTGAAAACAGGCTTGTCATCTGGGTCAGTGGGATCCAACCCAAGTAGCATGTTCAGCACAAGGCTCGCATCAGCCTTGCCGGTCACAGCCAGGTCCAGTTGCGCGCTGCCCAGGCGTTCCAGGCCAGCGCGAACCCACGACAGCGCCGCCTCCAAGCCACCGGTCTCAAAGGCCTCACGCACAGCCTCCAGCTCTGCCGCACCCAGTACCTCGAAGCCATCCTGAGCGGGTGGAAGGAGCCTGAAGGAACAGGAAGAGGGAGGGTAAAGGGCAGAAGAGGGTTTAAACACTAGAGGGCTGTGCTATGCGGACTGGACTAGGCTCGGATGATAAGGGTGGAATTTTCCGAATGATCCCTGAAAGAAGAGAGAGGGGCCAGACTGATGGTACAGCATATAGAAACCAGGGCTTAAAACAGGGGTGGGGCAGGTTCGTTGAGGTCAGGTTTCCAACAAAGCCTAAAAGGGGGAACCTGCTAAATCTTCTCTGGGATTCAAGCTTTGGGGGGGGGGCTTTTCCAAGGGACCTGCAGGGTTAAGAAAGGCCAAGCAAAACTCACGGAAGGTCGGGCTCAGGCAAAAACAGGCTTGCAACTTAGAATTGTGGACTAAAGAAAAGTCAAGCACCTTCCGACCAGAGCAAGGTCACCCAGGGCGCTCTTTGCTGAGACTAGGCGTAAGGAAGGGAATAAGGACCAAAGAGGGGAAAAGCCTCACCTATCAGTGCTGACCAAGGAAGGAGATGTGGCTAAGGAAAAAAGATGCACACTGAGCCTCATCTGACTTCTATGAAATAGGTGGCCAGGGGATGGGGGAAAAAATTCAGGAGGTAGCCAGCAAATGGGCATAGAAATGAGACGGGATTAGAGAAAGGAGGTGGGGGAGCGATCCCAGAAATAATAAGGCTCACTGAGGGTGTGGCTTTACAAGTACTGGTGTAGCTGGAGAACAAAGCTGATGATGGGGAGGGCAAGGAGGGCTCAAACAAAAAGTGTGAATCCTAGGGTAAAACCTTCGCGGGCATCACAAGCTTGTGTGCTGAGTGGGCCCTCCTTCAAACTTTTGCGGGGGAGGGAGGTAGTATTTGGGCTTTAGGTCCTGGCCTCTCCTAAAATTTTCACTGGGGCAGGGCTTGTGACCTCAGAACACTGGCAGGAGGATGAACCTGGAGGACAGGTCGGAACCTATAGCTGACCCTTGGATGGGGCGAGGCCTAGAAGTGGGGAAAGGGTCCAGCACTGAGCTTGGGCTTGGGGTGGAGCCTCGCTGATCTCAAAACCTGCGCTGAGGGGTGGGATCTGGACGAGAGAGCAGGGCCCCCAGCAGCTATCCTGTTAACGCCTGCCCCAAGTTTGTTGGGGGTGGGGTCTCGCGGATCTCAAAGAACATTTTCTGAGTGTGAAGTCTAAAAGACCAGGCCTCCAACCCACCCCAACTCCTCGCTCACCTTTGCAGCACCTCCGCCTGGCTCCGCAGCGCCACCCGCAGGCGCTCCAATTCCTTGCAGCCATCTCCGCTGCCGCAGTCGGCCGGCAGCACGAAGAGAGCCGCGGCCCCCAACCCTGCGCTGTTCAGCAGGGCCTCTGTCTCATCCCGGGCCTGAGCTTCATTTTCCGAATCTCCAGGACGGAGGTTCCGCACAGCCAGCAACGGGGTCCCTCCCGCCAGGGCGGCCCGCGCTGCCTCTCCCAGCGCTGGGGCTAAGGGCTCCCCGTTCCCCTCGGGGCCGGGCAGCACCAATACCAGCACATTGGCCTCCGCCGCCCAGGGCCCTGGCGCTGCGGGTGGACAGCTCAGCTCGCCCAGGAAAAGGCCAGGGCCGGCAGCTCGCAGGCTGGGGATCCCGGAGTCCGGCCGTCCCTCGGGAATCTCTATCGTCTCCACATTCCCGCCGCACAGCGCTGCAATCAGCGCGGACTTGCCACAGCCCGGAGGCCCCAGGAACAAGGCGGTCACGTCACCCCGTGGCGGTGGCATACCTGGAAAGCAAGAGGGTGGGGCAGACGCTGGTCAGGGAGCACTCAGCCTTTCTCATTCTTTGTCATCCCACTCTGGTCTCAGACTTCAGTCCTTCACCCCGTCCCCTTCCCTTCTTGGATGTCACTCCCAGGGAAAAATCCGGCACCCACGCCCTACTTTTTCCCCAGGGATAAGGGCGTCTTGTCCGCCCTCTTTCTGGATACATTTTTCTGTTTCAAATTCTCAGAAATCGGGCCTCCAGCCCTCTCCTCCCTCAGGGACATAGATGTTTCTATCCCCCACACTTCCCTTCCAAATCACTAACCGAGCAAACCGCCGACACAACCTGAGAGCTCGGTCGGCGGCGACTTATCAGCCGCCGAGAAGCCCCGCCCCTGGGGTCTGGCGGACGGAGGCCGAAGAGGTTAGAGGGCCGGGATTTGGGGACGTCCGGACACGTTCCGGGGGCTCTAACCTGACGTCACTCTTTTAAGGAGAGGGTGTGTCTTGGAAGCGTGACCTCGGGGCTACAGCCCTTCATGGCGCCTGCGCAAAGCCATCGAAGTACGCCCGCTCCTTATGCAGGTCCTGCTGCCGCAAGGCTCGGAACAATGAAGGAGTCAAGGCGCCTGCGCGCCAGGAGCGCCTGGCCACAGTTGCGCAAGAAGCGGAGGTCTGTACGGCACCGGGGCCTGCAACGTCATCAAAGCGCACCCCAGTGCAGAAAAGGACCCCTCCCGTTACTCTGAGGACCCGGTTGGCGAGACTGCATCACTGCCGGATAGCATGCCGGGCCTGGGCTTCGAGAGGCTCATCAGGCGAAAGGGCGTGGAAGCCACTGGGACCTTAAGACTCGGTGGGCCCTACCCCGCTTCCCTCCGGGTGGCGGCGCTGTGACGAGCGACTGACAGGCGCAACGAAAGGCAGCCCTCTGCCGTCTGGAGAAAAACGGAGGCCTGGGCTACCCGCCTCGGGAGGAGGGAACCGAGGGCAGTGCTTGGGGCGAAGGCTGAAGGCGCGCGTGGGAGGCGGGGGCCCTGGGTGGAACGAGGGTTACAGGATGTCAGAGAAAGATGCCTCCCGGGAAGAGGCGGGCTAAAGCCTGGATGCCATCACCGGCCTCAAGACACGTGGGAGACGGGGATGAGGCTGGTGTCAAAGCTCAAGGGTTCCATGCCGAGTTCAGGGAGTTAGTTTGATGTAGGAGGCCATAGGTCTCATACAGGTGAGAAGGCTCGAAGGGGTGTCACAAACCTAGGGAGTCGACTCTTTTGGGAGGGTCGAAGCTTCCCTAGGGAACAGCTCCATCAGGTTAGAGTTCAAGAGGATGGCATCTTATGGGGGCAAGGAGAGCCTGTCAGAAGTCACGGGATTAGCGGGCCCTTTAATGCTGTCGATAGATGAGCGACTTCACTTGATTTACTATTCTGTCATGCGTGCTACTCTTTTGACCAGAGGGATCCCAGTCACTATGGAGGACCCGCATCCTGAAGAGACCATGGAGCAGCAGGATTCGTCCAAGGAGAGGAGTCCCCGCAGTCCAGGAGGCGACATCTGTGAGTGCTGCTGGCCAGAGGAGGGGGGGGTGCTGGAGCTGATGCTAGCTAAAGGTATTTCTATAGCATTTCAGTGTCCCAGGCATTACAAGCACTTGCCTGCTGGGAAGGGTCTCTAATAAATGGCTTCTAAGCTGCCCTACCAGGGACTGCCACTCTCCACCCTTACCCTCATTCTGCTCAGATGTACCCACCCTGCTTTGTCCACGTAAGTTCGAGTGGGCTGCAGTTCAGAGGAACAAAGTGGCATCCAGAGAGGCTTGGGGTGGGAGATGTGGCTGGGAAAAGTGGGGCACTGGCAGAGGAGCCCCAAGGTTCCAGTCCCAACTCTGCCCCAGACTTTCGGTGTGACTCGGGCTTGCGTTTCCCTATGTCAAAAGAGGTTGCCACTACTCAAGTGACACGACTATAATGGGGATTGGGGCAGAGAAGGGGAAGGTCTGATGTTAACGAAGGCAGCCAATTTGACAGAGCATGATAGCAACAGCTTCTACTGAAGGCTCATGATGCTTGTGGGCGCTTTGTAAGCTTTTAACCTTCGTTATCTCAGTCCTCGTGTCGGACCCTAGGAGATTCCCTCAGATAGGGGAACGGAGGCAAGGAGAGGTTATCTGTGACAATGACAGGCCCAGTGTCAAGGCCCTCCAGCCAAAGACCACCAGGAACACACCCTACAGTTGAACGAGTTGGGTTTATTGCTCTTTGCACCGAGGAAGCACACACGCCCTGGCGCGCTGTGGGGCATCTCAGTGTTAGAAAGGATTTATCTTAGGTAGTTTTGGGAAGGGTTCAAGGAAGGGTTTTGCTCCAGAATTAGATGCTGCCTGGTAAGCAGGTGCAAAAGATAGGGTGGTCAGATCTTATCTAGGAGGGAGGCACAAAGGCTCAAGCTGCGACTGATAAAGCAGCAGCAGCCCCTCCTAAGAGCCAGGATAGCGGCGTGTTTGGTCTTTCTTGTGGCTTGGACAACGTTCATGTTTTGTCTGCGTTCAGACGTTATTCTGGCATGGTCTTGACTTGATTCATCTCAGTCACAGCATGGCCTTGTCTGACGAGGTTCTGTGAAACTGCTTATGTTCAACAGGAGAACACCAAGGCCTAGCTGCGAGCGCCAGGCCGGCCCCCGGCTGTCAAGCTGCTTTTCTCTTTCTCAATACTAATAATTGCAAACCACTGTGTAGCACTCTTCTAAGCACTTTATATGAATTAATTCATTTACTCCTTCCAACAACCCAACCAGATAGTAATAACCGTACCGATCAGTTGTAGCCATACTGATATGGTTATGACCCCATTCTCCAGATGAGGAAACTTGTACTTGCCTAGGAAGTGGTAGATCTGGAATTCAGTGCCAGGCGGTCTGGCTCCAGAGACTGTGCTCTAACCACGGGGCTCTGTTGGAAGGGCAGATTCCCCGGGTTCCAGTCCTGACTCCACCATTTCATTTCCCGGCCTCATGACTGTAGGCAAGTTGCCCAGCCTTTCTGAGCCTCAGCCTGCTCATCCATAAAACAGGTCTTGTAATAGTTTGCCTGTGCCACTGTCCAGCCCTGGCATATAGCCTGGCACATGGTAAGCCCTGAATGTGAATTGTTGGCATGACTCTGGGGCTTGGGAGAGGTCCTGGTGACTCTTGCTGGCTTCCCCCCGACCTCTCCCCACGTCCCTCAGGCCACCTGGGGGCCCCGCAGTGCACCCGCTGCCTCATCACCTTCGCCGATTCCAAGTTCCAGGAGCGTCACATGAAGCGGGAGCACCCAGCGGATTTCGTGGCCCAGAAGCTGCAGGGGGCCCTCTTCATCTGCTTCACCTGCGCCCGGTCCTTCCCCTCCTCCAAGGCCCTGATCGCCCATCAGCGCAGCCACGGTCCAGCCGCCAGGCCCTCCACGCCAGTGGTGCCCACCGCTGCCCAGCCTACATTCCCCTGCCCTGACTGTGGCAAGACCTTTGGGCAGGCTGCTTCTCTGAGGCGGCACCGCCAGGCGCATGAGACCCGCACCCCTCCCGGCCCCTTTGCCTGCACTGAGTGTGGTCAGGACTTTGCCCAGGAAGCCGGGCTGCATCAACACTACATCCGGCATGCCCGGGGGGAGCTCTGAGTGAGGGCTAAGCCCTCCCTAGGGCAATGGGTGTGGGGGAGGGTTCTTTGGCTGCTAGAACCCACCTCTGATATGGGACGGGGGCCTTGGAAGGATTTCCTTCCCTCCCTGGACAGGCAAAGGACTCCTGATAAGTAGGACCCAGAAGATGCTCATCTACAGCTTCAGTCTTTGGAGGACACAAAGGCCTTCAGGGATATAGTGAAATTAGTGAAATCTTTTGTTTAAAAAAAAATGAGCAAGCAAAAGGGAAAACTGTTATTTGTATCTCCCTCATTCCCAATTAAATAGTTTGAAATCACAACTAGCTGCAGATTGTGTAATCACCTTTAATTCTTCCCAGATGGGTGGCATGAGCTGTAGGAGCAAATTCCCCTGGATGTGTGCCTGAAAGGGGGCAGGGAAGGTGAGGTGTTGCGGGGCCTGTAATGTCACTGGAAGGGTCCCAGACGTGGAGCAACTTGGGCCTTTGGAGACAGAATAGCAAAGTTGGGGGCTGTACTTTGAGTCATGTGGGGGTTGCAATTCAAGTCCTTGTCTTCTCCCACCCTGTCAGTCTTTCCCACTCACGGAGGGGCCATGGTATTGGATGGACTGGGGCTCCCCCCCAATAATCTATTGCCCGCTTAAATAATTTTATGTACTATTCTGGTCATGGAATATTTTCTATATGTGTAGGTGAGATGACATGAATAAAATAACAAATAGTATCTAAAAACAGAAAAGACCTACATTAAAATGTCTAAACAAGGAACTCTGGCTCTTGAGCAGGAATTCCCAGAAAATATAAGGGCACAGGGTGGGGATGCCTGGGTGGCTCAGGTGGTTAAGCGTCCAACTCTTAATTCCGGCTTATGTCATGATCTCAGGGTCGTGAGAGCCAGCCCGGTTTCAGGCTCTGCACTGAGCATGGAGCCTGCTTAAGATTCTCAATCTCCCTCTCCCTCTGCCCCACACCCCTCCGCACATCCCTCTCTCTCACTTTCAAAATAAATAAAATAAAAAGAAGGGCACAGGGAGGGGGAAGCTCAGGTCAGAGCTGGCCTGGCCCTGCAGGGAATCTGGTTTGAAATCAAACAGAGATACCTTCTGTTTCCTGTTGTATTTGGCCAACACTGGGAGAGCTCCCATTAAGATCCTATTTTTAGCTCTTGAAAAGCCTAACCCTGGGCCGAGTCCACACTGGGCCCACAGTCCCACTGTGCTGAGTGTGGTCAGGACTTTGGATTACCTGTCCTGCCCCCCTTAGTGACAATGGTTGATGCCCTGCATACAATAATCACAGACTATCTGAACCGAGGGATGGGGGGCGGAGCAAGATGGCGGAGGAGTAGGAGACCTGGATTTCGTCTGGCCTCAGGAATTCAGCTGAATAGGGATCAAACCATTCTGAACACCTATGAACTCAACAGGAGATCGATGAACCGAGGGATGTTTTTAGAGCCCATAGCTGAGATAGATATGGTAGAGACTGATAGATGTCTCCCAATTTTTAGCTAGGTACATGGTAGCTACAAACACTCCCATTTCCCAGGGTCCCTTGCAGCTAGGTGTGGCCCTGTGACCCGAGTTCTGGCTAAATTCTGGGTAGAGTTCTTGGGCTTCAGAGAGGGACATGCCTTTTCCTCTGCCTGCCTGCCTGGAGTGTGGACATGGTATCCAGCCATCTTGGGCCATGAGAGCAAGATATGGGCTGGCAGAGCAGCAAGACAGCAAAAGAATGGATCCCTTGACCGTGGGTCCCTGGGACCATGATGACTTCATGGAGCAGAGTCATCATACCAGCCCTAGAATATCCACTTCCATACTACCACGTAAGAGAGAAATAAGCCTCTATCTTGTTTAAATCACCCTTATTTTGGGTCTCTGTCACATGCAGCCCATTTAAAGCCTGTCTGCAGCGCAGAACTGCAGATCTGAGTAGTCGCAATGGAGACCGTATGGCCCACCAAGCCTAAAATAGGAAAGGGCCATCTGGCCCTTTACAGTAAAAGTTTGCCGACCTCTTGTCTAACCGACAGACAAACAACCTACTCTGAGCCTGGCAGCCAGGATTCCCACCCTGGGAAATACTACCTCTAGTAGGGGGCTGTGCATGCATGTGTTTGTTTGTGTAGGATTTGGGCGGGGCTAGCTAGCCTGGATCTCTTTGCTTGGATGACTTACGGGGAAATTGGTTTGGAGTCAGTTGGCCATCACTTTTTCCTAAAATATCGACTTCACGAAAGTCAAATATTTCCTCTGCACCTGGCGACAGCTCAGAAGTTTCCAACCCAGATGTTTTACACCTCCCCCACAGCGGTTCCCTCCAACCCAAACCTAAGGCTCGAATCACACATGCTCCCCTGAGATAGATAGCAGCCTGCCTGTGTTCTTCCTGTTCTCTCCACTCTCCAGATGTCATAGATTCCCAAGACTTTAAATAGCATCACTGGTGACTTCCCAATCTTTATCTGCAGCTCAAACCCCAGACTTCTCCCCATGAGAAAGTCACTTGGATGACGAATAGGCGTCTCAAAAACGTAAAAAGGGTCGATGTGACTCCAACAGCCCCCACCTACACCACTACCATGAGATTGGTCAACTGTCTACTCTACTTCTAAATTCCCAAGTCTTGGGGCGCCTGGGTGGCTCAGTCGTTAAGCGTCTGCCTTCAGCTCAGGTCATGATCCCGGGGTCCTGGGATCGAGACTTGCATCAGGCTCCCTGCTCCGCGGGAAGCCTGCTTCTCCCTCTCTCACTCCCCCTGCTTGTGTTCCCTCTCTTGCTATGTCTCTGTCAAAAAAAAATAAAAAAATAAAAATCTTTAAATTCCCAAGTCTGACTGGCCCTCCCCACAGCTGCTCTCCTAACTGCTCCCCTCACCCCACCCCCGGACCTGCCACCACTGCTACCCCCTCCAGTCCACTACAGACCACGGCCCGTGTAGGTAAGTCAGTGCACATCACTCATTTAAAATCCTCGAATGGAATACCATAAATAACATCCCAAGACCTTACCCAGGCCCAGAAAACCCAACAGTGATGGGAGCCCCTGCCTGCTAAGCAACCTTAACTCCCTCCCAGCTCTATCTTCACTATATTCCAGTCACACATGCCAGGCTGGCTTCTGCCTCAGGGCCTTTGCACTTGCTATTCCCTCTGCCTCGAGTGCTCTTACCCAGAATTTTGCAACACTGTCCCTACGTTATTCAGGACTCAACACATGCTACCACCTGAGAGAGGTCCTCCTTGACCTGCTTGGCTAAAGTGGCACCAGCAACCCTCACCCTGACTTAATTTCTTCTTAGCGCTCTTCAATACCTGGGATTATCATGCTTTTGTTTGTCATTATCCGTGTTCTTACCCTGGAATACACACTCTCGAGGGCAAGTGTTATGTCTTCCTCGCTTCCCCAGCACCTAGGACACTTGATCTCAGAGGCTCAAAGAATGCTCAACTGTGCCCATTGTTTACTGAGTGTCTCTCGGCATCATCCCTCTGATGCTCTGTGATGCTGGGCTTTCTGCAGTTAGGTTTCCCAGACTCCAGAGCTGGCTTCCTCAAGTTCTGCCCACAAGAGGGATGGGCATAAAGAAGGTAGGAAGACGGAGAAGGGACTCACCTTGCTTTGGATTCCCTCCAGCAGCAGCTCAGGCTCCAGTGCCATTCTGTACTGGGCACAAGGTACTGTGCTAAACCTCTTGAGGTTTAAACCTCTGCACACGGCCTGTCGTCCAAGCTCCTGCTGGGCCCAGGACCCCAGTCCTAGGGGTGGGAGCTTTGTGCAGAAACGAACTGCTCAGTTGCCTCAGTTTTCCACATTTGTGCTCTCAGACTTCTAACAGCTGCATGACCACTCTCCTGCGTTAAGTCCTCTCGTTGTAATTCCTAGCTTGGTGTCCCTATCCTGCCCGGGCCCCAAGGAACTGAATGACCCCACTGGCAGCAGACTAGGTGTCTGGATTCCCAGTCTCTCATATCCTTAGGAATTTTTGCTGATGAATGGATTGTTCTCTACATCCATGCTTAGAAATCCCCATCTTAGGGCAGAAGAGCGCTTAAGCATGCTGCTCCAGGAAATAAAATCCATCTGTGGTGTTTTAATGAGCTGTGAATTTCTGCTTTGACGATTCTGAGAGTCATTGATGTTAAGCTATAGTGGTTAGGAAAGTCTCAAGCTGAAGAGTGGATAAATGTCAGGTTTTCAGATTCTGAGTCTCTAGGATGAAAAGTGTGGGTTTTGACAGATGCTTTGGTATAAGATCCTGTAACAGGCATCAAAATGCAAGTGTTCTTTGTGGCCAAGCAGGTACCGTCATCAGGGAAGCAAGCAGGGCGTGAGGGGTCCACATGCCAGATGGTGGGGAATGGGTGCATGGGCCGGAATGCCCCATTAGCAGAAGGTAACCCTTACTCAGCTCCAGCAAGCTACTGTCCCATGGGATTGTGGGTTCAGCAATCGAGATCTCACAATTTTCAAGAGAAACCCCAACCCTCCATTTTGATGTGAAATCTGCCCATTTTTAAATGTTGGTAACCAACATGATTAAAAAACCTCCGTAACTCTGTGGAGACCAAACACACGCCTGCCAGTCAGATGGTGGCTACGGACAGCCAGGCTGCCATTTCTGGAATGTGGCTTAACGGTGAAGGACGTATGCCCTGCACCCCGTTGTCTGGAGTCAAACCCGGGCTCTGCTTCTTATTAGCTGTATGACCAACCTGTAGCAGTTAAGTCAACCTCCCTGGGCCCGAGCTGGAACCGCTATAAAATGGTTGTGATAATAGCCCCTATGCCTCTAAGGGTTATGACAATACAATGACTGGAGACATGGAGACACAGCCCAAATTGGTAGAATGGCTTAGAAGGCCTGGCCCTCTGCCCCTCCCTGACTTTGCCTTCCCACCAGTCTTCCCCTGCCTTCGTCAGCAACTGCCTCATGCCCTAAGTGTTCTTCCATAAATATGCCAAGTAGGGCCCCACCTCAGGGCTTTTGCACTCACTGCCCCTGAAGACAGGAGCCACACACACACAAACACACGCCTCCCCACCCCGTTTTCCTCCACAGCACTTACTACCTTCTAACGTTCTCTACGTTTTATATATTTTACTGTATCTAAGTATCTGTCTTCTGCGTTATAAGAGGGGTTTCCAAAAAGGCAGGGAGTCTTGTTCATCATGCTCACTGCTCTACTCTCAGCTCCCAGAATAGTGCCAGTATCTCGCAGGTGCTCAATACATCACTGTTGAATGAATGAATGAATAAGTAACAGCCCCTACCTCATTAGGATCCGATGCGATTGTCCATATAAAGCGCTTTAGCCCAGGGCCTGGTCCACCGTGAGCGCTGATTTAATGATGGCCATTACGGTAATTCAGGTTCTATTCTTGAAGGTTCTTAGTTGCCAAGCTTCTATGAGTTAACACATGTAAAGCGCCTTAGAACAGGGCTTGGCATACAGTAAATGCTCAGTAAATGGCAGCTATCATTATAATTAGGCTTCTATTTTCTAAGGAGCTTTGGTGCCAAACTTCTATGAATTAGTACTTCCCATCTCCAAGCAAGAGCCAAGTTCCAACAAAGCTCTAACCAGCTGGCCCTCCGCTCCCCTCTGCCCTCACTCCTCCAGCTCTGCCCTCTCTGACACCCAACAGGCTCCTGCCTCCTCCCGCCTGGACTGCTCGTCCCGCCTAAGTATGCAGCTCCAGCTCCCTCCTCCCCTCTGCCTCTGCTTAGGGCTCCGTCACCTCCTCAGGGAGGGCTACATTTAAAATGGCAGCCCCCTTCCAGCACTGTTCTCCCTCCTCTGCTTTGTTCTTCTCCACAGCATCTACCCCCGTCCAGCATACGCTTCATCTTACTTATTTACTGTCTGTCCTACCCTCCCCCCTGCAAGCTCCATGAGGACAAGGGTTTTATTTTGTTCACTGGTATATTCCCAATGCGCAGCATACAGCAGGGACTCGGAAGATAATTCCTAAATGAATTAATGGATCACAGTCCCTACCTCACAGAGTTATTCTAAGGACCTGATGATCTCATGCAAATAAAATGCAGCACTCTGTAAGCGCTGGGGAAATGGCAGCTGTAATTATAATTAAGGTTCTATTTTTGGAAGTTCCTAGATACACAACTTCTATGAGTCAATATATATAAAGCTCTTGGACCAGCACTTGGCACCCAGGAAGCACAGCTCTGATTATAATTAACGTCCTCTTTGTGAAGGTTCTTAGGCAGGGGCAGAGAACATTAGCTGTCCTCCACCATCCTCCACAAACTGTTCTCTGCTTCCCGGGCATTGGCTAGACCGCTTCTCCCAGATTCCCTGCAAGGAGCTGTGGCCATGTGACTCATTTCTCAGCAGAGGGATGTCAATGGGAGCAGTATGTGCCCCGTCGGGGCTGGGGCTGGTAAGACATCACAGGTACCTCGCCAGGCTGGCCTTCCTCTTCCACCAGCAGGACCCAGGCCACAGCCACTCAGCCATGACCATGTGGATGACAGTTGGCTAAGGGATGGCCCGGGTCCTCGAATCACTGCATGGAGAAAGGCTGTCCCCCAACCTGAAACACCCACCCTGGACTATGATGTGAGCGCGAAACCTCTGTACTGTTGAGTCCAGCCCGTACATCATGGGGTCTGTGAGTAAATACATGGAAACCACACTGAACAGAAGCACTCAGGAAATGTTGAAAGTCTTAATGACGATGTTAAGGGTCCCCCCAGGGAGGAGCCCCAGGGGATGGGAGGGGATAAACGCCCAGGCCCATGCCTCACACACTCAAGAGTCTACACACATGCACGCACGCACACACACACACCAAACACGCTGGACCAACACACACAGAATTTGGCTTTTATTCTGGCCTTCACACATCTACTGCTAAGACGACACGGATCGGCGTTGCCCCCATCCCCCATGACCATTGTGACACCCCCCAGTTTCCTCTGCCCCCTCCTCCCACCCCACCCCTTTGGCCAAGCTCCCTGGGTGGGGTCTCCCCCTACACCTCCCCCCGGGCATGCAGCATGAAGTGCCCATGCAGCTCCCCGAGGTTGTCGAAGGAATCCTCACACTCTGTACAGTGGTAAGTGCCCTCCTCCTCCTCCTCCTCCTCCTCATCCTCCTCGTCCTCCTCCTCCCTCCCAGCTGGTCGGCCCTCCCCAGCCCGAGGTCGCTCCTCCTCTTCCTCCCCGAGGGCCCTGCCTTCAGGGGCTGGAGCTTCCTGGGGGGCTGTAGCAGGACAGCAGAGCCGGCAGGGCGGGGTGCCTGGTGGGGCCTCCCCAAGGGGTGAGCGGCCACAGAGCTGGCAGGGCTGGGCTGGGGGGCCTGGGGGCTGGGCTGCACGGGGGGCCCGGCGGGATGGGCCCCCCCGGCCTCCCCCCAGGCGCTGCTTCACCTTGTAGCCAGGGTCATATTCAGGATCATCAGTGGCCTCCTCCTCCTCCTCCTCTTCATCTTCTTCCTCTTCGGAGTCTGGCTCTGAGAGAGTGTACTCAGAGTCAGAGGAATGCTCGGGGCCTGTAGGGGGATGGACAGGAAGAGACAGAGGCATCTGAGGCCGAGGGCTCTGCCCCCTCCCTGAGCCTCATTCAGACTCTCGCCACAGCATGGAGGGGGCAGCCCGGACACAGCCCTGCTCTTCCCCCCAGAGGAATCCCAGTCGCATCGAACATGGCCTGGCACGCAGTAGGTGCTCAGTGTCTAAGCAAATGGATGTCTTGCAAGAACTGCATCTTAGGGGTTTAATAAGGACAAAGCAGCAGTAATAAAAACAGTAACAATAACAGTGTTCCTTGCTATTTTAAGAACCCTGTTCTTGGGGCGCCTGGGGGACTCAGTCAGTTAAGTGTCGGGCTCTTGATCTTGGCTCAGGTCTTGAGCTCAGGGTCACGGGATCGAGCCCCGCACTGGAGTCTGCACTCAGTGGGAAGTCTGCTTGGGATTCTTTCTATCCTTCTCCTTCTGGCACCCCTGCCCCTCAGTGTGCGCGCATGCGTGCTCTCTGTCACATAAATAAATCTAAAAGAAAAAAAAAAGAAGAACCCTGCTCTTATATATTAACCTACCTAAGGCTTATAACAACCTTTGGAGGCAAGTACTATTATTAACCCTAAGTGACAAATGGGAAACTGAGGTACAGAGCAGTTAGGTGACTCACTCACCTCCAGTCACACAGCTCTAACAGGGAAAGCTAAGTGATGACCTACAATGGATCATTTTAGGGAGACAAATAGGTCTTCACGCAAATTAAAACACATGTATGTGGTGTGCATATACCTATACAGTTAAGTGAATTAACTCTCTCTTTTAGAGGGAGAGCACACGATCTCATGACCCTGAGATCACAACCTGAGCTGAAACCAAGAGATGGGTGCTCGACTGACTGCACCACCCAGGCACCCCTAAAATTTTTTTAATATTATTTGAGAGAGAAACAGAAAGAGAGAGAGAGAGAGAGAGAGAGAGAGAGAGTGTGTGTGTGT